TGTGTGTGTGGCCAGCTCAGCCCACCAGGGGGCGGGGCTGGCTGGCATGTGGTGCTGGGGGATTGAACCGCGGTCCCTCTGCTTTAGCTAAGCTTGTTCTAAGTAGGTGCTTTAGACCACTGAGCCATCTCACCAGCCCCTGGTCACGTCTTTTTAAAAAAAACAAAATTCTTACTATGCAGTTCAGGCTGCCTTGAGCTCACTTTGTAGCCTAGGCTGGTCTCAAACTTGCAATGATTCTCCTGCCTCAGCCTCTAGTGATGGGATTACAGGCATTTGCAACCATGCCTGGCTGTATAAAAATTTACTAGCAGCTTTCAACTGTGTAGTTTTAAATCTATACACATTTTATTACTTTACCTCTCCACTATAATCAAGTTTCTCAAAGGCAAAAATTGGACTGAAAAACACTTAAAGAAATAGATCAGAGAAAAGTATAAATACCTCCCCGGAGTGGTGGTGGCATCCCTCTGCCCTCACGAGGCGGCATGCCACCTCGCATGCTGTTCATTGGAGGCTTCTTCCGAGCAAGGGAGACTTTAAGTTTGCTTCCTTGAAAATCTTTCCCTAGAACAAGATAAACATAACATCAACGACCCCTAAATTCCAACTCTTCTCTCCCAGAGGGACTAGAATCTATTTTTCTTCTGTCTGAGACAGGATCTCACTACGCAGTTCAGGCTGGCCTTGAGCTCACTTCGTAGCCCAGGCTGGTCTTGAACTTCTGGTGATCCTTCTGCCTCAGCCTCCCTATTTCTTCTTTTCTATCTATTTTACTACTCAAACTTGGGTGTCTCCAGGAACATCAATCCTCTTCCACTTGTAAATCTCTTAAGACTTTTTACCAGTCAGCCCCACCCCAAAAGGCTTAAAAAAAAAATCTCTCTACTGGGGCTGGCGAGATAGTTCAGTGGTCTAAAGAACCTGCTTAAGCAAGCATGCAGGGACCTCGGTTCAATCCCCAGCACCATATGCCATGCCAGCCCTGCCCCCAGGGTGGGCTGAGCTGACCATAAAAAAGAAAAAAAATAAAGGAAACACTAAAAACCAAACAAACAAACAAAAACCTATCTCTAAACAAAACAAAAAACAAGTTTCAACAAGCAAACAACCCCGAACAAAACACCACTTCTCCTTTCTGAAAGGCAAGCTGGTAGGTGGCAAAATGTGTACTAGGATCCCTACAGAAACTAGGCTGAGAAACTAGGGAAAAGGAACCCAGAAAGGACAGCAAGGACCTAACATCAGACACTTTCAAGTTAGGTGTGTGTTAAGTGAAATGCCAGCAATGATGTCCAGGCTTTAATATATAGTTATACTCAAATGTACACAGGCTGGTTTTTTCTCATGGTGACTGGGACTAAATCCAGACCTTGTGCATAGGTAAGCAAGTGCTCTGCCACTTAGCTTCACCTCTAGCCCCGAGAAGTTTCTTTTTTTTTTTTTTTTGGGTACCAGGGATTGAACTCAGGACCTTGCACTTGCCCTGAGATGTTTCTTATAAAGGTTTTCTATATCTTTTGATAACACTTGGAGAAAAACCTGCAGCTTTAAGTGAAGCTGATTTATAATAGCAATCCCCTAAAATAAAGCCATAATAGCAATCCCCTAAAATAAAGCCATTTCCCAATCCAGGTGACTGGGCCCTGGAAGAGACAAGGTGTTCTCCTCAGAAATGTAACTCTTTTTTTTCCCAATGTATTTATACAGAGGGTCTACAGGGTCCCACTACACAGATGAGACTCATAGTGATCCTCCTGTTAGTCTCCCCAAGTGCTGGGATTACAAGTGCATGCCACCATGTCCAGTCTCAATCACCATCTCAGAGGGCCCGAGGGGTGGGACCAGCACACTGGGGATTGAACCCCCGTCCCTGTGTCTGCCTGAGTAGGCACTTTAAGTCACTGAACTATCTGGCTGGCCCTAGAAACACAAGTCTTTTGGTTCCCATGCCTTACAAATTTTTCCCTCCTGCTATGCCTTACTTCAATGTAGAAAGTATTTTTTGTTTTTTATCCCTAGACTTTCCAGACAATGGTATTTTAATAGCACCCTGTATTAGCAAGAGCTTTTCTTCTCAGTAAATGGACACAGGCAGTATTGTTTGCCAGGAACACATAGGTCTGAACACAGTAAGCACACCCTACCATCAAACCACTCCACAGCAGCCTTGGCAGTCGGTGGATCTTCATAGGACACCGTAGCATCACCCTTGGGCTTTCCTGTTTCCTTGTCCAGGTAGATGTGGATCATAGGTTGCCCAGTTCTCTTGTTAATCTACACATAAAATTAGGACACTTAGGACATGAGTACAATTTACTAATTTGTGAGGAAAAGTCCACATAAAATTTAGAAAGTCCCATAAACTGTTAAAAGCATTAACTTTTCATAGGCAGACGTGGATCTATTAGGATCTACAAGCTTATTTCTGGGTTTTACAACTATGGGTGTCCTAACCAGCATGCCTGTAATCCCAACACTTGAGAAACTGAGGCAGGAGCATGGACAGGAGTTTGAGGTCATCCCGGTTACACAGTGAGTTCAACGCTAGCGTGAACTACAGTGAGGCCCTGTCTCAAAACACTAAACAAGAATTATGGGTGTCCTATTTCCTCAACACCTACATATATATATTTTTTTACTTTTGAGAGTGTCTCACGACATATCAGGTTGGCCTCACACACATGGCAATTGTACTGCCTTAGCTTTCTGCGCACACAGATTACAAATGTATACAACCACCATAGTCAGCTGGCTAACCTTTCTTTTGAGGGACTCTTGCTAGAAAATTCAGGTTGGCCTTGAACTCATAACAATCCCCTGGCCCGAGCCTCTTTTGAGTGCTGGGATTACAGGTATGCACCACCATGCACAGCCAAACGTTACTTTAATTCTTTTGTTGCTTTTTCTGTATTTACATGGTTTTCTTCCTTATAATTCAGTATGTAACTTAACAGTAGAGATCTTATTAGTCTTTTATCCCTAATTACAATAACAGCACAGTATCACAGAGAAGTAATCCTGTAATCCTGGGAGCAATTCACAAATACACAGTCTAAGAATTTGCAATATAAAAAGACAAATTTGTCCAAGATCAGGGTAGTACAGCTTGGAATTGCAAGAAGTTTGATCAATATGAAGGACTGCCCTGGAATTAAAAAGGAAGCAAAAGGCCACTGGAAATTCCTGGAGGCGTGACTAGTGATACTAGTGGTCACTAAGTGGTCACCAAGGGCCAAGGAGAGCAGAACCAAAATTCTGTAGGTGACTGAGCCAACGATTTAGAAACAAAAATGTGAAAGGGTTACTTTTGATATTTTTCTTTTATGTGGGACAGTTGATCTTGAGCCTGCGGGGAGCAAGCCAGCTCTAGATCCCTCCAAGTCCTCTTTACTTTGCCTCCAATTCTTACGTGTCCAAAGACAGGGAGCAAAAGACACGCCTTTGTAGGAGGGTGGCAAACATTACTTTTTTAAAAAAATTTATTTTATTTATTTATTTATTTATGTGTGTGTGTGTGTGTGTGTCCAGCTCAGCCCACCAGGGGGCGGGGCTGGCTGGCTGGCATGTGGTCCTGGGGGATTGAACCGCAGTCCCTGTGCTTTGCTAAGCTTGTTCTAAGTAGGTGCTTTAGACCACTGAGCCATCTCTCCAGCCCCAAACATTACTTTCTAAACTGGGATAAGCTCTGTATATCTAGGTAAAAATCAATCTTTAAAAAACTGTTTATGGGGGCAGGGGAGATGGCTCAGTAGAATAAGTGCTTCCCTGGCAAGCACAAGGGTCTGAGTTCAATCCCCAGTTCTGCCAAAATAAAAAAGTTTATATTTGGATAAAAAAAAAAATCTTTAAAAAAACTGTCTTAAAACACAAAGCACAAACATTATAGGGTTCATTTTTTCTGGGGGTGGTACTAGGAATCAAACTCAGGAAGTCCCTAACACTAAGGTTGCACTGGGATTACAGGTGTGCACTACCACGTCCAGTCTCAATCGTGCCGTGGGGGGGGGGGGGGGGGGCGCGGTGTGGTGGTGGCGGGGCTGTGTGTGTCGGGTTTTGGCATGGCAGGCAGGGATTGAACCTGGGTTGCTGCAAATGCCTAAGCAGGCACTTTAATCTGTTGAGCTATCTGGCCAGCCCTTCTTCCTAATACTAAGTTATATCTCCAGTCTTTTCAAAGATAGGGTCGCAGAGCATGATGGCACATGCTTACCTGTATTCCCAGCACTCAGGAGGCTGAGGCAGGAGGACTGCTGTGAGTTTGAGGCTAGCCTAAACTGCATAGCGAGACTCTGTCCCCAAAAGACAAAATAACAAAAGAAAAGCCAAGCTCTTGCTAGGTAAGATCTTGCCTAGAGGGGCCGGGGAGATGGCTCAGCGGAATAAGCACTTCTCTGGCAAGTGCAAGGGCCTGAGTTCAATCCCCGGTTCCGCCAAAAAAAAAAACCAAAAACCAGTTTAGATCTTGCCATATAGTCCAGGCTGGACTTGAACTTGTGAACCCCTGCCTCAGCCTCCCAAGTGCTGCGATTGCAGGAATGTACTACCATGCCCAGTTGAAAATACCATTTATCTCCAAAAAAGGACTGGGGGATGTAGCTCAGTGTAGAGCACTTGCCTCGCATGTATGACACTCCAAATTTAATCCTATCTTGCCCTTCCAACAATCCATTATCTCTCCTGCATATGGTTGGTTGGTCCTACTATATTCAGATTCAGTATTTGTAAATTTGCCTGCTAGCTAAATAACTGTCATCCTCTATGGTATTTCAATTTTTTTTTTTTTTTTTGGGACTGGGGATTGAACTCAGGACCCTGCACTTGCCAGGCAAGCACTTAATTCTACTGAGCTACCTCCCCAGCCCCCTAATTTTATTTTGATCTATGGTACTTTCAGGGTCATTTATATGAGCAGGATGGCAGAAAATTTAAGATGTGTGATGTACAATGTTCTCAGCTGAGGCTGAACAATATGATAGTCTGCTCTCTAGTTTTAGCTCTCTGTAAAGATGACCAGATAGCTGGGCATGCTGGGTAAGGCAGGAAGATTACCATGAATTTGGCCAGCCTGGGCAACACCAACTTGAACTAATTAGTGAGCTGTCACAAACCAATTCAACCAACCACCCAACCACCACCACCACCACCAACAACAACAACAAAATCAACAGGGAGGGGCCGGGGAGATGGCTCAGTGGAATAAGTGCTTCCCTGGCAAACACAAGGGCCTGAGTTCAATCCCCTGTTCTGCAAAAAATAAAAATAAATATAGCAAAAACAATAGGGAACAGGATATGGCAGAGAAGTGCAGTCTGAAAAGGAATAGCTTGGACATGTTTAGAGGACGCTTGGATGGTGGGGCAGCCTCAGGCAGTCCTAAACTTTTCCTTCTGTTTTGTAAAAAGAAAACAGTATACATCAGCTGAGTTGCTGCTCATAATTTCAGATTATAATCTACATACATAGATACACAGATAGCTACTTCCCCTGTATAACAGGCCAGCATTTATTAAGTATTTGTGGCAACTTTACACAAGGTATCAGGAAACAGATAAAAATGTCTACTGAAGCAATCTTTGTATGATAAATCCATAGATATAATCCAGGCCTTTTCTTTTTTGGCAGAACCAGTGATTGAACTCAGGACCCTGCACTTGCCAGGCAGGTACTTATTCTACTGAGCTATCTCCCTAGCCCCCAATCCAGGCCTTCTAAAAGAGTATCTGAATTGTCATGTATGTAGAGGTCCAAAGCACTGTCTGTTGAGCTACAGGGCCACCTTGTGATATACAGAATACAGGAACTCCTACACTTCCAAGCTACTGACCCACAACCTCCCCCAGCCTGTTTCTCCTAGTCTCCATGTCTTTTTTTTGGAGGGGGGAGGGGAAGAAAGGAAGGACAAGATTTCAGTATGTAGTTCAAGTTGGCCAGGTTGGCCTCAAACTTGCAGTCAATCCTCCTGTCTCAGTCTCTCAAGTGCTGGGGTAATAGCTGTACTCAACCTTGTGGGATCCCCATATCTTCAATAACCTCACCATTATATTCTAGGAGCTAGTCACACTAAAACTTAAGTCACACCAGATCTTTTGAACTTGCAAAGTTCCTTCTCCAGGAGTCTGCCCTTATTACCCCCTCATTGTCTCACTCCAAGCTATATGATTCTTTTCTCATTTGATCACTACCCTCCTTGCTTTACTTTCTTATATAACCTAGCATAAATCCCCATTGTTTACTATACATGCCCCACCAATATAAATACCAAATGTTTTGTTACTGGCATATTCTTAGTCTTCAGAATAGTCATGTAGTATAGTAGTGCCTAATTATTAACTTACATGTGAAATAAAGTAGAACTAAAAATACATCTTTATGAGGCTGTGTGTTGGTGGCACATGCCTGTAATACTAGCACTCGGGAGGCAGAGGCAAGAGGAACACTGGAGTTTGAGGCCAGCCTGGGGTTACATAATGAGTTCAGGGATGCGTGAACTAGGAAGGGAGACCCTGTCTCAAAATGCCAACAAAATCCAAAAAACAATACCCCCCACCCCCAAAAAAGATGAGAATAAAATCCAGGATGGGGGAGGAAAGATCTGGGGATTGAACTAGGTATATGTGAGGTGAATAAAAAGTACTGCTCTCAGCTCTTAATTCTTATGCTGGGAGGTAGACACAAAAGTTTCCTACTTATGGGCTGGTGAGATGGCTCAGTGGTCTAAAGCACCTACTTGGAACAAGCTTAGCAAAGCACAGGGACCGTGGTTCAATCCCCCAGCACCACATGCCAGCCGGCCCCGCCCCCTGGTGGGCTGAGCTGGCCACACACACACACACACACACACACACACACACAAATAAATAAAATTAAAAAAAAAAAAAGTTTCCTACTTAAAAAAACAAAAACAACAACAAAAAACCCAACTCAGGACTGGCCTGATAGCTCAGTAGACTTAAAATACCTGCTTAGGCAGAACACAGCAGCTGGGGTTTGATCCCTAGTGTGCAATACCGGCCCCGCCCCTGGGGCAATGCTGAGACAGTGATTGAGACTGGCCTTGAACTTATGGTGATCCTCTTGCCTCACTCTCCTGAGAGCTGGGATGATAGGCATGCAACACTGCAACATGCAGACTTAATGTCATATTTATGTTTGTCAGTTAATATACTGAGGGTTTTTTTTTTTTTGTATTTAGGACAGGGTCTACAGGGTCTCACTACACAGATCCGACTCGTGATTCTCCCGTTTTCAGCCTCCCCCAAATGCTGGGATTATAGGCATGCTGTAACAAGCCCTAACTTGGTCGCCAGCTCAATGTGCCTGGCATAGCACGTGGTACCAGGGATTGAACCCTGGTCCCTGCTTGCCTAGGCAGGCACTTAGTCCACTGAGCTCTCTCTGGCCCACCAGAACCAACTCAACATCAAATCAATCTTTTTTTTTGGGGGGGGCAGAAGGGGTTGTGTCCTGAGATTACAGGCATGTGCCACCATGTTTGGCTCTTTCTGTTGAGACAGGGTCTCACTATGCAGTTCAGGCTGACCTTCAATTTACAGTGGTCCTCCTGCCTCAGCCACCAAGTGCTGGGGTTTATAGGTGTGTGTCACGCTGCCCAGCTTTTTTCAATTTCTTTTTTTCTTGTGGTACTGAGGATCAAACTCAGGACCTTAAGATTGCAAGGCAGGCACTTCATGCTACTATCTTCCCAGCCCTTCAATTTCTTATGTTCTGTAGCCTAAATTTCTGCTTGATCACTCTGTTATATTTCACTTACCTTAACAACCCCACATTGCTTAAAGAAGTCTGCCAGGTCATCAAGTGTCACATTGTCATTTAGTCCTTGTACATAAATTGCGCTGTTGTCAGAGTCTTCATCAGGATCTATTGGAGGGCCTTTTAGAGAAGAAAGAAGGGAGTTACCGTTCCGTGTATGTAAAACCTTCAATTGTTCACAACTATCCAATGGTGTGCACCGCAAATCTAAGGAAACTAACCACTACTAACCACCACCAAAGAATTTCATGAAACTTTGGGTTTGCTTTTTTCTTTTTTGCGGAACTGGGAATTGAACTCAGGCCCTCGCACTTGCCAGGCAAGTGCTTAATTCTACTGACCCTTCTCCCCAGCCTTTTTTTTTTTAAAAACAAGGTCTTCCTGTGTAGTCTGGATTGGCCTTGAAGTATTAAGTAGCCCAAGGTGGCCTTGAACTCAAAGCAATCCTTCTACCTCAGCGTCCCAAGTGCTGGGAATTTTTTTTTTTTTGGGGGGGGACAATCAATAAATGATCATAGAAAAGGAGGCCCTAATCTGACCATGAAACCGAAGAGTAGCACATTGCTGTATCAGGTTGCTGAGCTCTATCTTATCCTTAACTTCTGTGTTTTTAAGACAGTATTGCTGTGTAGACTGGCCTTGAATACATAGCCAAACTATCTCAAATTTGCAATCGTCTTCTGCCTTCGGTTCCAAAGTGCTGGGATTACAGGTGTGTGCCAGCACAAAAACATAGCACAAAGTTTGAAATTCAAAATTACCTAGATCAAGATCTGGTCCTTCATCCATGGGTCCTGCCAACCAGGAAAGATCATATAAAATATTATTAGTGCACGTCTTGCAAGCTACAAACCTTACAAACACACATAGCTATCTACTACACCACCATTTCATGGGGACTCATTAAATTCAAAATGAACCGCACTGCTAAAATGGAGCAGTGCCTCTTTTAACATTGGTGAAAGGTTTGCTAGGGTTTGCTTTTCTTTGCTGGTTTGCTTCTAAACCATTACCAAATACACTTTCAATGCTTATGTGCCAAATTAGTGTTAAATTTAAGTCAATTTTTTTCCTCCAAATAAACCAAATTTAAAAACTGTATTCTCCCCCATATTACAGAAACAGATGCTCAATACTTCAAGTTACCCTTTGTTTTGTAACCATAGGTTAACCTTATTACCCCTAAGACAATGCCGGCAGTACCCATTAGTCTCTTTTGGAAAGCTCATTTTTAAACCGTTTATGAAACTAATAAAAAAAATTATAGTTTTCTAAAAACTGACTGTATTTTTTTTTAACACTATCCATGGTAATACTCAAAAACTTACCACCAGGCTTATTGAAGCCACCTCGCTCTCCAGCGCTGCTGGGGGGATAAACGAAGAAATGAAGGCCTTTCCCTTTAAAAGCCAGTACCGCTCTGAGCCTTGGGGGGGCTCGTGGGGAAGAAGGGCACTGGCTAAACACATCTCCAAACAATGCATCTCTCTCATCTTGTCACTATGCCTTTCTTCAGGGCAGCTTGCTCAAATTTCCTTAATATACAACCTTGCTTGTCTGATTGTACACACCAGTGTGGTTGGTTCCTTTCATTTCGGGGCTGGTATTAATAGTGCAATACTTGGCAAATTAGGGAGTAAAGAAACTGGACCCCAAACACCCACCCCATCAGTTGAAGAACCAGGACAGCTTGGTGTAGAGAAGAGTGGCAAGCAGAGGCAACTATTGTGATGAACCTTTTCATGTTCATAAAGATGCACCCCCAACCTCTCTGGGTGAGAGGCAAATGAGACCCTGGGCTTCCTAACAAATCACAGTATAGTGAGGCAGGAGACAACCACATTAAATGTCTATACACACATCAGGACGCATCCAGCCAATCTTCAGCATAAAGCCATACAGTTCAGGAAACTAATGGATTTAACAGTCGCTGTGAAAGGAGAATTTACAACAAATACCAAGGCTCAATGGACTGAGGGTGCAACTTTATAGACATATCAGTTAAAAATAATGATTATGGCAGTATAAAATTACATATTCTAAAGAAAGGAGGGGTGAATATAAATTTGGCTTAGATTTTAAAGAGTAAATAAAGGCACTCCCCCAGTGGGAGGCCCTAAGCTGTTTGTAACCAGTATTGCACCTTTAATACCTGAATATACATTTCAAGCTGTTGCATGCAGCTTTGCGTCCTTTTTAAAAGTACACACCATAAAATGTTCTCTCTCTTTAAACACAAAAGTTTACACTTTAATGTTACACAATTCTAGAGTATTATACCTCCTCTGATTCATTACCAAACAACAAGTATGCAGTTACCAAAGTTACAGAAGGATTCCATTTATACAATGAATACATTTTGTTAAAAATATTCTATGTATATTTTTCCTCTCCATATGGACACCGTGTCTAGTCCCACTTTTCATTATGCTGCCGGCTGAGTACTGAGTACGGGTACTTTTTAAGTATTGAAGTGTATACAAGGCTCTCACTTTGTAACCTGTAGCATATAAATGCGACAAAGCATGTTAAAAAGTTTCCACGTTTAACAGCCAATGAAAATATCAAAATACTGAGGCAATGAAAAAGGGCATGTTAACAACATTTAAGTGCCTTACCTGTAGAAGACACTGAAAACCATCACCACACCACAATAAAAAAGGGAAAGGGGTTAATGCCCCTGTCCTGTCCCCACAGGCTCTAACAGACTGCAACATCACAGTTTGTTGTAAAACCTATGGGGAAGGCCATGGTCTCTTCTATGGCTCCAGGAGAGACTTCTCATCCGAAAGGGGGCCCCCTCTAATAACAGTCTAGCAAAATCAGTAGAATCATTACTTTTGGAGTATTAAAATGAATAAACTTGAAACTGCTTTTGAAATTAAAAAATATTAAGAATTCTAGGTGATCTGAGACGTGATGATAGTAATTTCAAGTGTCTAGGTCTAATTAAAACATCCATAAAGTGAAACCTTTATAATGGAATGATACTATCCAAAATGAATGACAGATTTTACTTTATATTAACTCAATCACAAGTTTTTGGTATGTCATGTTTCTTCCAATAAAGATTTCACTGCAGACTTTTATTTTTAAAGTTATGCAGAACATGCAAAACAGTATTAGCTATTTTTTAATAACAAGATTTGCCAGCATAAAATTAAAAGACCAACTTAACATAATTTTGAAAAATTTTTTGAAATTTTTATAAAAATAAATGTTATTTAATTCTTCCCTGAAATAACAGGCCAAATCCAATCTACACCTAACATTCTGCATAACTTTTTATTAAAAAGTTTATATAGGGACAGAACACACACAGAACTAAGCCTTCTGGATTATGTTAACCATCGACATTATACCTCACCTTCATCAAAGTACAGACACTAGAAGAGGGGGTAGGAGGAGGGAGGGGATGGGCAGGCAGAAGTAGGAGGGTTACATTATTAATCTAAACAGTTTTCTAAACCAGATTGGGCCATCAATCAAAACGGTCAAACTGATTTAGACTTTTAACAACTCCAATGGGGAGCAATTCCATACTCATACATTACTCTGAGAAAGTTACTGGTTTTTCTGTACTCCAACTAAACTTTTTATCAGGTGTACCTCAGGCCATAGCATAAGGGTTATAGGATCAAAATCTTCAACAATTCTGAGTACAAACAGAACTTGAGGACAAACACTGTGGAAAACAGCTGCATTCTTTTTTGGCAGATAAGTATATACACCAGATACTTCAAGACAACCGTTCAGAGGCATTAGTTAAAAACTTGGGTTGTTAGAAGGGTTGTGTGTGTTCCATCCCAAATCTATTACCCACAGAGGCTTTTCACCTCTGGAAACCATGAAGGGAACTGAAAGCTCTAGTATCAAAACCATTCTTTGTTCTTCCCAACCCAACGAAGTATATTGGCAGAGAAATAAGCTAACTGCCAATTGATATATGCCATAGATAGACATTTCCATGTTTTACATGATGACTTGTGCTCAACAGATTTCCATGGAAATGTAGAATAAATTTCTTTATGTCTTTCAGTCCCTTCTTTCCATTGAAAATCCTATGGATGAAACAAAATTAGGTAAAAGGAGAAAAGGTTTGCTCTTACCCCATTCCACCGCGTCCTCCTCCCCGCCCACCTCTGCTCATGCCTCCACGATCAAATCCCCCTCTTCCCCTGCCCCGGTTATCAGGGCCACTCATGCTCCGGTTTTCTCCTGGTCCGGAAAATCCTCCAGACTCCTGCCCATAAACACCCATGCTACTGGGGTGGTCCTGTCGGAATGAACCTGAGGAAAGAGTCACATCTGTAAGCCATGGACCAGCATTTATACATTGCCTGACTTTCTCCTGGAATCACAGATTTCTCAATTGTAAGGTACTAACCAAAGTACCATCTTCTTTACACCATGATAAAGCAATCTTAATGAGTAGGTGCTCAAAAGTTCAACAAAAACTAGTGGCTCAGGGGGCCTGCCCCTTAGCTCAGTTCTTTAAGTGGCTGCTTCAACAAAAAAGTCAGGCTCAGGTTGCTGTGGTTCGATCCCCACAACTCAAGCCAGCCAAACCTGCCATGAAGGCATTCAGAGCAAAAAAACCCAAAACAAGTGGATCATCAAGGCTAAAACAACCTTGCAGAGTTATTAGCTTAGACTAAACTACCTCCAAACAAGTAACACTCTGGATAACTTAACAAATAGTATAGAATTTTGTTGCTCCTAAAATACTAAAAGCTGGTTCTTTAAGCTATACTCCAAAAACAAAATTTACAGCCAGGTTTCTTAGGGCTTTAATATGTTGTAAGGCTGAGTTCCATCAAGCAGCAATACTCTTTTTCAGTCCTAACAAAACATACCTATAGGTTGAAATTCTAAAAAATTTTATTTATTTGGTACAGGGTCTTGCTACACAGCTTGGACTCATAGTGATACCCTGGTCTCAGCCTCCCCAGCACTGGGATTAAGAGGCCTACGTCACCACATCCAGTCTTGGTGGCTGGTGAACCTGGGGGTTTCAAGGCTGGCATGGCATGCAAAACCCGGGGTCTGACCCAGGCCCTTGCGCTTGCCAGGCAGGCACTTAAAGACTGCTGAGCTAGCTCCCCAGCCCTAGATTGAATTTAAAAAGTATAAAAATCCAGACAGAAATTTGTGAGGACAATTTCCAGGTTGTAGTTATTTCTTCATAAGCAAAATGGGGTTAGTGATATAACTCAATGACATGCCTAGCATGTGTGAGCTCCTGGATTCAATCTCTGGCATCAGAAATGCCTCAGAAAAATAACCCCTTTTTCAACACTGTAAATATTCTGAAAGCTGGTTTTTCTTCCTTTTAGGATATAAAACAAAAGCTCAAAAGCATAGGTCTCCTCAATCAAAATTATAGTACCCCTTGATGGCTGCCTGCCCATTCTCTTATATCATTTGGATGGACAGGCCATAAAGAACTTTGGCTTCATATAACCTAGCCAAAAGAAATAGGGCAGTCTGAAAAATTTTTTGTGGTCTGTTACAGTTTCTCTTTCTTTTTAAAGTCTTTGTTAAGCACTACTGAAATGAAAAAAACAAACTACACCCCCAAAACATTGAAATCTTTACTGGGACATCCAAGGATGTTATGCCCTAAACATATATCCTAGATTTTAAAGAAACAGTGGTAAAGAACATTTCCCAAGTTCACAAATTCCAAACACAATGACTCTTATTTGGTTTTCTCTCTTAGCAACTCACTCTGCTGCCCGTAGCTGCTGCTCTGTTGGCTATATTGACTTGGAGCCTGGCTGTAGGATCCAGTCTGGGGGGGATAACTAGTGGGAGGCTGCTGCCCATAGCTGCTTTGTTGACCATAGCTACTCTGCTGTCCATAGCTGCTCGGCTGCCCATAGGTGTTCTGCTGAGAGTAACTGCTCTGATCATAACTAGTCGGCTGTGTAGAAGAATAGCTGAAAGGAAAAAAAAAAAGTCTTTAGGAAGAAGAGAGAAGACTTGTTACTTTTTCCCTGAAAATGAAACATTCACAAATCATACTTTTAAAATGCAGTTATTTTTCTAGATATCAACAGTACGAACAAAACCAAATATTTGTATATGTATACGTATATACACATTCAGAGAAAACTGACCCAGGGGAAAAAAAGTCCTGAGAAAAAATTAGTTATGCGAGGCAGTTCTAGACTGCTTTTTTTTTTTTTTTTAATTTTTTTAAATTTTATTTATTTGTGTGTGTGTGTGTGTGTGTGTGTGTGGCCAGCTCAGCCCACCAGGGGGCGGGGCTGGCTGACATGTGGTGCTGGGGATTGAACCGCGGTCCCTGTGCTTTGCTGAGCTTGTTCTAAGTAGGTGCTTTAGACCACTGAGCCATCTCACCAGCCCTCTAGACTGCTTTTAATGATTCTTGATGACACTGATTCTCTGAAGAGATAAGGCTGCTTAGGCGTACAACATGTGTAGATGAACCATACAAAAATGGCAATTTTCCTTTGAAAATTCATAAGAGCATTCAAAATTGCTGTTATAGTTTCAACCGTTCATAAATGCCTAATTATCTATGAAATCCAGGTACTAATCAAAAAAAAAGACAAAAAAATTTTTTTTCAGAAAGGTATTGTATGAAAAATACTAGAGAAATTACTCAAAATAATTCCTGTATTAAAGTGTTCCCCCATTCAGATGAGATCTTGCTATGTCTCAAACTTGTGAGTACAGCTGATTCTTTTGCCTCAACCAGGACTACAGACATGCACAATTTGCTGCTGGGTGCCTCTACTTTTTTTTTCTTTTTCAACAGGATCTTGGGCTGGGGAGATGGCTCAGTGGAATAAGCACCGCCCCAACAAGGGCAAAGGACGGAGTTCAATCCCCAGTTCCGCAAAAAAAACAAAACCTCCTCAAGACAGGATCTCACTATGCAGTTCAGGCTAGCCTGGACTCAATTACGTAGCCCAGGCTAGCCTCACACCCATGGCAATCCTTTTGTTTTAGCATTCTGAGTCTGGGATTATAGGTGTGTGCCACCATACCAGGCTGTTTTAATTTTATCAGTAAAAAGACCAGTAAAAGTGATTAGATCCACTTGTACCATATAAGCCACCTGATGGGACAGTCACACATGTATCATCTGTGGGTCAAGCCAGTGGGAATGTAATGCCCTGTACTTTACCCATTGAAAAAGATGGTAAAATGGCTTCTTTATGGTTTAGTTTATACAACTTCACATACTTCTGGTTCTTTTTCTTCTCAGGTAACTAAAAGAACCAAATTAAAGGGAAGAACCTAGTGGTAAATATATTTTTCTCTGTATTTAGAAGAAATAAGTTATTACCTTATAGGTAATGCTAGGGAGACCCACGGCTGAAACTTAAATGTATCTATACATGGTCAAAGTTATCACTGAGTTGGACAACAAATCTTACCTGAGGGATCCAAAGCAAGCTGGTCAACAATCTGAAAAACATTTGCTACTCCCCTATCTCAGTGGCCATAAGAAAGAAAGACTGACCTGGTAGGAGGATAGGATGGAGGTGCGGTGACTGGCTGCATCGGGTAGCTTCCAGGAACCTGGGGATAACTGTAGTTACTCTGTCCGTAGCCTAGGCTGGGCTGGTTATAACCCCCTGTGCTAGATTGAGGTTGATTAGTCTCAGTAGGCTTGTTACCATCCTGTGGTCTAAAAAGAAAAAATTTAAATACACTGCTTAGCCTCAAAGCTCTTAGATACGAAACCTAAAAATCTGTGAGCAATACGTGCTGTTAAGACTGAGCTTCGAAATACATACAGCAGTAAAGTACATCAAAACACCCCACTGTATTTGATGGAAAGAACACTAAAGAATAGAGAGAACTGGGGCTGGAGAGATGGCTCAGTGGTCTAAAGCACCTATTTAGAACAAGCTTAGCAAAGCACAGGGACTGCGGTTCAATCCCCCAGCACCACATGCCAGCCAGCCCTGCCCCCTGGTG